GACCTTTTACATTTATGTTATGTAAGATTTATTTTAGTACTTTATACTGTTAATTTATTTATAACTTTAAAATTAAAAAATATTGTACTGAATAGTCTGAAACACAGGTTCAACCTAGTTCAGGCAAATAAGCTACTGAGGTCTAATCAAATCGTTAAGATACTATTCATGTAAATATGTCCCATTTATAAAATAAACAATTTATTATTATTATACATAAACTTAGAAGTAGCAATTTATTATGAAAATAATATTAGCAAAGAAATCAAATGATCAAGTGTATACTGAACTATGGAAAAGACGGTTCATATTTTATAATCAAAGACGCCAAAATATAAAAAACCTATTAAAAGGACACCTGAAGAATGTTTACAAAATTTATTACAGTTTAAATAGGTAATGATAGATAGATAGATTCATTTATTTGCCTGAAATATGGTGGTTTATAGATTTTATGACATAACATTAGTTCATCATATCTCGCCTATAAATTTGGCATGCAAATACTTCAACAAAACTAAATCACAATTTTCAAAAATGATTCTAAGTTAGAACAAACAATCTAAACACAACCCTTGCTAATGATTCCAAATCAAAACAAGACAAACTAAGTTACAATTTCCAATAATCAATAATGACTCGAATTCAAAACAAAATAAAAATAAAGTACAATGTTGTTGAATATCAATAATTAAAAAGCGGAGAAATTGAAATAATTAATAAATTAAATTCTCAAATTGAAATCCAGAGTTATTAAATTAAAAATGTCAAAAACAAAAATTTTAGGCTTCAATGAATGAATTACAATGTCAATAGAACAATAATAATCACATTTCAGATGTCAATAAACCAATTAACAATGTCAAAAATTTAAAAAAAAAAAAAAAAAAAAATGTCAAAAATTAAAAAAAAACGTACAAATTCAAATGTCAGGTAATATGTCTAAAAAAAAAACAAAACAAAATTCTTCATTCATGTTTCCTATTTGTCTCTGCATTCACAAACTCTTTAACAGTATAAAAGCAATTTTCAAGAAGCCATACTTTGAGATGCCTTCGAAATAGGCGGAATGGGAGCTCTCTAACAACCTTTGGTATGATATTAAAAATCTTAATTGCCATTTGACCTGTGTTATTATGACAGTATGCTGTTCTACATCTCGGCACTGTCAGTTTTGTAGGATCTCTTGACATTTTGCCTAGCTTATATCTATTTTTTTTTTTTTTTATAATTGATGGGGCGACGTTTGACCACTATCTCACCTGATGGTAAGCGATGATGCGGTCTACGTTGGAACACGTCGTCCCATAAGCAACCTATTCACTCGGGCCTTGAAGACTCCCATATTGTCGCTATCGGCTGTACTAAATATATGAGGGTGCTTCTTTACAAATACTCCCATTTCCAGCACATACAATGAGGCCAAAGTTAATATTTTATTATCTTTAAAAATAGGCCTGCACGATTCTAGTGGACCAGCACCAAATACAGCTCGCAAACACTTCTTTTGCACCACAAAAGCCCTATTGTAATCAGTGAAGTTACCCCAAATGATTATGTCGTATCTAAGCACCGAAGAGACGTATCCATGATAAGCCAATAAAGCGGCATTAGGTCCAACAGATACCCTAAGATTTCTTAGCGCAAATGCAAAGCTGTTTAGTCTATTACATACGCTTTCTATGTGTTTTTTCCAATTGCAATTTCTGTCTATTACTATACCTAAAAATTTTGTGTAGTCAACTTCTTCAATTTCATTATAGCCTCCAACCACGTTCATTAATTCCCTAGTCATTTTGTAATTACCAAAATTAATATATTTTGTTTTGGAAACGTTCACATTCAAATTATTCTGTTCTAGCCATTCTATTATAGTTTTTATTGCAGAATTTACTCTATCTTCAAGTTGTTCATTATTATTGTCTCTATTAACTAACACTGAAATATCGTCTGCAAACAACACACACTTATTTTTGGTCACTGTTGGCAAGTCATTTATATATAGAAGAAAAAGCAAGGGTCCCAAAATACTACCTTGAGGCACACCATATTTATTAGGTCTATATTGTGATTCATACTTTATCTCCTCTCTGTCTTTATTAATACCTAATATTTCAACCCGTTGTTGTCTATTAGTTAGGTAATCTTTTATCCAATTTAGTGCCTTTCCTCTTATCCCGTAATTCTCACATTTATCCAACAGTATACTATGCTTCACAAAATCAAAAGCTTTGCTCATGTCAAAGAATATTGCAGTGACTGGTATCTTCCTATCTACGTTCTCAGCAATAAATTTTAATAATTGAAAACAGGCTAGTGTGGTCGATTTTCCTCTTTGAAAACCGTTTTGTTCGGAACTTATTATACTGTATTTAGATATAAACGAGATAATACGATTGTACATTGCTTTTTCGTATATCTTTGCAATTATAGGTATTAATGTCACCGGACGATAGTTGTTTATGTCGTTTTTATTTTTATTTTTATATAATGGTTTTACAACTGAGAACTTTAATTTGTTTGGGTATTTTTCTTCATAGAAACTTAATTATTTACGATTATTAACTAGCTGTGCCCCGCGGTGATGATAAAAAGTATTCCAGGCTGGTTTTTTCTAAATTCGTTTATATTTTCTTTATTCGTCTAAAATATATACCTCTGACGTTTTTTTTTTTTTTTTTTTTCAAATGATATTTTATTTTATTTATTTTTCAGCTGATATGTTCGCTCAAGTCCAAGTTTCTCAAGGAATATTGAAGGGAAAAGTATCTGAAACTGTATTTGGAAAGAAATATTACAGTTTTGAAGGCATACCCTATGCGAAACCGCCTGTAGGAGACCTAAGATTTAGAGTAAGTACCTATCGTCTATTATTTACATAACATAACATCACGCCTTTAATCCCCGAAGGGGTAGGCAGAGGTGTACATTACGGCACTGCCACTGTACAATGTAACACCCACTTTTCACTATGTATGTTATGAGTCCCATGTAATAGGGGGTGACCCTATTCCCATTTACCGGGTACAATTCCGGACTCCGTGATACTACTGAGATTTTTTGATAAACCCAGTAATACTTTACCCGACCCGGGAATCGAACCTGAGACCCCTTGCCCGGCAGTCGCTCTTGCGACTACCCGGCCAACGAGGCAGTCTATCTTTATCGTCTATTATTTTTATATCATTAATATGCATGAAGATTTAAAATGCTATTTAAAATATGTTCTTACAGTGGGATTTGCACCTGAGTCGTGGGTTTCTTTATGGCATAAGCCGGTAAACGAGCAAACGGTATATCACCTGATGGTAAGCAATCGGTGACGCCCATGGACACCTGGAACGCCAGAAGCGTTACAAGTGCGTTGCCGGCCTTTGTGGATTAGGAGTTTGAGGATTGTTGTGGATTCTGGGATAGGGAAATCAGACAGAGATTGGGGAATTGGTAATTGTGCCTTACTCACACGACGAAACACAACCAACAACCAACACACTGACGTGACGTTTTCAGTCGAGCCGAAGCATGGCTCAGCCACACTTTACGTTACGGGTCCGTTTACTAACACATTATCACATAGACAAATTTCACATCCACCAGATACAGATCAACAATTTGGATAATACAAAAAATTGTTCATTCCACCGCGTGTTTTCAATCTCGCCCTCTTTCTCTCTCTATTTACTGACGGTTTTGAGTGACAGTAAAATTATTGAAGCACCGAATACTGTTATTCAGTGTGGCCAGATGTAGTCTCACCTGTATAGTTTGTTTATAACCTAACCTAATATACTTATTTACTCATTTCTAGGACCCACAAGAACCAGAAAGCTGGAAAGGTATCCGCGATGCCACGAAACCAGGTAACAAGTGTTGCCAGCTTAACCCGTATACACAAACCACAATAGAAGGCTCCGAGGACTGTCTCTACTTAAACGTCTACACTCCAAGCTTGCCAGGAGAAGAAATAGAAAACCTACCAGTCTTGTTTTTCGTCCATGGAGGCCGATTTATCTTTGGCTACGGAGACTATTACAAACCTGATTATTTTCTGGAGCATGATGTAGTTTTGGTAACTATAAACTACAGATTAAATATACTAGGGTTTTTGTGTCTACATATACCTGAAGTCCCAGGAAATGCTGGCTTAAAGGACACAGTTTTTGCCTTAAGATGGGTCAGAGATAACATCGAGCATTTTAACGGTGATTTTAACAACGTCACCGTTTTTGGTGAAAGCGCTGGGGCGGGCGCTGTGGCATCTTATATGACTTCGAGAATGGCAAATGGGCTATATCATAAAGTCATTGCGCAGTCAGGAAACTCGATAGCTGATGTCTACATGATTGATGATGATCCAATTGAAAAGGCAAAACGTATAGCGCAGAATTTGGACCAGCAGTTTGATGATGAAAAGAGTTTGTACGAATTCTTGGTACAAGTGCCGATTCAAGATCTTATAGTAGCCTTCAGTATTGCTGAAATAGGCCGACCACCGTCCGTTATTAATGCATACTTATCACCAGTGGTTGAACAACCGTTCCCGGGCGTCGAAAGATTCTTTGACGAGTTTCCAAGAATCGATTTCCCCTTACAACATTTTGATAAAGTCCCTGTGATGACCGGTATGAATTCCCACGAAGGAGCGCTATTTCTGCAAAAAGACGGAGATGGGCATATTGAATTTGAGAAAGATTATTATTACTTTATCCCGAAATTCTTGCATTTACAAAAGAACGACGAGAGATGCGCTGAAATTGAGAGTAAAATCAAAAAATTCTATTTCGATGACCAAGAAGTGACCGAAAATTTGAAAGAACAGTACATTAATATGGTTTCGGATACGTTTTTCCAATTTCCTATTATGTTATGGCCTGACATCCTTGCGAAAGCAGAATCTGAAGTTTACATGTATAAATTTCAATATTCTGGCAATTTGAATACTCGTGTTATGAAGGCTTTGGGGATTGCGGGAGCCAGCCATGGGGATATGATACAGTACCAGTTTTACAGGGATTCGAAGCATGATAAAGCCAAAGAAACTGATTTAAAGATTATTAGGATGCTTGCTGGAGCTTGGTGTTCATTTGCTAAGAATGGGTAAGTGTAAAATACATACATACATAAATCAAAGTCAAAGTCAAAATCATTTATTTCAATTAGACCAGAAAGGCACTTTTGAACATCAACAAAAAAATAGCAGTGAAGCTACTCGCTCAATCCAAGGTGTAGATTCCTATGGAGACGAACTAGCAAAGAAATCCATAGGTTACTCTTAATTCTCTAGTTACATAACGCCACATTGAGCCCTCAAAGGGGCGCTATAAAATGTGCCGACCACTTTTAGCCACTTGTCTCGTATCCCATTCAATAGGGATAATAGGGTAGTTTCGTATATTTAATTTTAATGTCTGTCTGTGGTAGATTAATTTAAAACATTAGACACGTATTTTTTTCTCACAAAATACTTTCGACGATATATTACTCTGAAATTCCGTGTGACGTCACAGCGTGCTACATTTCGTAGCACTTTGTGGGCTAAATAAAAAAAATTTTTTTTTTGTTTTTCAGGCAGCCAACATGGGCGGAGCAGGAAACCGAATGGATCCCATACACAAGAAAAGGCAAACATGTGCTCATTATAGACAAAAACATCGAATGTGTCCGGAACCCAGACTTAGATAGACTTAGATTCTGGAAGAGCGTTACTGGTGATATTTCTAAATTATAATTCTTGTTATAAAGGTTCTTGGGTTCGATTCTTGAGTTGAGCAAAGGGCTTTTTGATGTCGAAATTTTTAGGTGCTGGTTTTAAGAAGTCCAAAGGGCTTAAATAATGTTTTTCTTAAACCCCACGCTTGGTTATTTGCGTGGTGACTGAAAGTTATTCGGTTTCAGTTTATGGATACAGAAAAATAATACTACTAAAGTAGACATAGCCAAATCGAGAATCGAACCTAATACTTTATTTATTTATTTGTCGGTATCAATTGTCGCAATATTTTTTCCAATAACCGTATCTGTGATAAAGAAAAATTAGTTCATAATATTCTGTTTAACTTTAAAAAAATTGCATAATTCAATGGTGCCTGCATATTATTATATTTTATTATATAACTAGCGACCCGCCAAGCCTTCGCACGTGTGCAATATGCATGTATTATACATATAAACTTTCCTTAAGAATCACTCTATCTATTAAAAAAACCGCATCAAAATCCGTTGCGTAGTTTTAAAGATCTAAGCATACATAGGGACAGACAGACGGAGGTCAGCGACTTTGTTTTATAGTATAAAACAGTGTAGTGATAAAAACAAATACATTTGGGAGCAAAGAATCGGGATCACCAGCGGTTTTTTATTTATTTTCTTGATAAATATTTTGATACAAGTACGTATTTTATTACTTGGTAACCTATGTGGTATAACAGACAATTTAGTCACCTGCCTCATTGGCCGAGTGGTTGCAAGTGCGACTGTCGGGCAAGGGGTCTCGGGTTCTATTCTCGGGTCGGGCAAATTATTACTGGGTTTTAAAATAAAAATCTCAGTAGTAGCACGATATCTGGAATTGTGCCCGGTATATGACAATATGCTCACTCCCTATTACATGGGACTCATAACATAAATAGTGAAAAGTGGGTGTTACATTGTACAGTGGCATAATGTGCACCTCTACCTACCGCTGTGGGGATTAAAAGGTGTGATATTATCTTACCATTAAAATCAGGATGTCGTAGTGGCCCTGAGGTTAAGACGCCCGCTTCTCATGCATGAGGGTGCGGGTTTGAAACCAACCATCGGCAAGTACCAATGTGACTTTTTCCGAGTTATATGTACTTTCTAAGATTATTGAGACACCACTGACAAACGGTGAAGGAAAATATCGTGAAGAAACCTGGGCCCATAGTTTCTAATTATAAGTTTGTAATCGCCAACCCGCATTGAGCAAGCGTGGTGATTAATGCTCAAACCTTCTCCGTGTAAGAGGAGGCTTTGGTCAGCAGTGGGCATTTATAGGCTGTTGATGATGATGATGATAATGATGATTAAAATCAGAGCATTTTGTTGTAAAAGGAATATTTTTTGTAAAATTAAATCAATTGGAAAAAAACTGCTAGTGGCTCCGTTTCTTTGCAATTCAGTGTAGTTTTGTTTCTGGATAAATCATAATAATATTATTCTAAAACAAGTTTACACCATGGAATCTATTCCGTTTTCGTCCCGAAGTAAAATGGTTCTGTCTCGGTAATACAATAGTTTTACAAACAAATAAAATGTTTAAAACAAAAAATAACTGGTGAACCTTTGCAACGCAAACTTCGAAGGCGCATACGAACTCATAGTACATTATCAAAACATCACGCCATGTCATTCTCGAAGAGGTATTTCTCGTCGGGCGACACGTGCGATGCGGATAGTGCGTACAAATTTATTACGTATTAAAATAACATTTTTAAACTAAAGAAAATGACTAAAGTAATGCCTACACTCAGTAGGGCTCACGCGACCGCGCACGCTGCTCATGAGGAAGAACCCCTCTGTGGTTCAAAACTAGTGGAACTTTTCTCAGTATATTCACGTGAGTAACCCGCGATTTTTGGTTAATTCAGTATGTCTCACGATAGTTATTATAAAAACAAAGAAAATGACATCTTTATTTTTTGGTTTTTACTTTATACATCGAAAGTATTCCTTATGGTGAGTTGTTTTGCTGCGGAACGGAAACGAAATGTCATGGTGTATATATTTTTTATGTTAAACTATGTAAATTAAACTGTCAAACACCAAGCGGTCACCGGTGACCGCAACCTATTGTTCTATAATTGTGTCTACAAAACCGGTACTCGACGAGTTAAGGAGCTTATATTGCATAGTCATCAAGATTAAGAGTGTGTACCAAATATCAGAGGCCTTAGTACAAGTTTGTTTCATGTTTAAAGTATTCGAAACGAGTACGCGTTCGGCGCTCTGATTGGCTGGCGCCAATGAAGCAACCAATCACAGCGCCGAACGCGCACTCGTATTTTTGACCAACTTAATTTTAGTAGGTATGTCTTCGTCAATTTTTTTACAAATAAGTATGCTGTTTGACCCTAAAAAAACGTGACGTCACAATACATAATACACAAAAACTGTCGTTTTTGACAGTTCAACAGTTCAGTTGACTAGTTAGCGAGTACCCAATAGGCGTGTCGACAGGGTAAAAAAATCAAAAAGTAATTAGTCCGTCATTGAGATCGCACGAAAATATCAGACGCGTATTTTTTGTTTTATCAAATTAACAGAAGAATACGTAGTTATTCCGCATTAAAGTTAGGGAGTGGGGGGTGTTGACGTCACACTTACGGAGAAATCGTACCTAATTGTGACGTCACGCGTCATTTTAACTCAAAATATCTACATGTTTTTTTGGATACGAGAAAAAAGAAAAAATACGTATCGAAGATTTTTAAAATATCTAAAAGACGGACAAAAAATTAAAAAATAATCTCCATGCCTATTATGTACATAAACACAGCGGCGGCCTTAGGGGGTGGCGAACTGTGCAATCGCACAGGGCCTCGCTCTTGGAGGGGCCTCGCGCAACAACACAAGCTAATATTAAAAAAATATATATAAATATATCTACTCTAAATTAAAACTGTTAACTTTAATTCTTATTGAAGGAATTCAATGACACAAGATCGGCTTTCAGCCCTATTGCCATTCTTTTAATCGAAAATGACGTTGCGCATTCATTAGATTATTGTGCGTTTATAAAAGATTTTAGTCTTAAGAAAAGCCGCAAACATCAGTTTTAATATTTATCATTTCTATATTTGTTAATTTACTTTTGCGATTCTTTAAATATAAAATAAATAAAATTAAAATTTCATTAATTTGTATAACTTATCATTTCTCCTCAAACATGGCATTTACCTGAATCAAACAACTAGACTTACTTTCGCAACACATACTTAACTCGTCGAGTACCGTCATTGTAGACACAATTATAGAACAATAGGTTGCGGTCACCGGTGACCGCTTGGTGTTTGACAGTTTAAACGAAGAAAAAGAAAGGGCCTCGCAAAGACTTGCCGCACATAGCCTCGCAATGAGTAAGGCCGCCGCTGCATATACACAAACTTTTACATTAAAAATAATATTTGTAAGATGAGATAACTTAGCTTTCGGCCCCTTATTACATGGGACTCATAACATAAATAGTAAAATTGTTGTTACATTGTATTGTGGACCTCTGTCTACCCCGGTATTAAAAGGCGACTTATGTATATTATGTTATCGAAATAGAAGACTGAAGCCCGTTTACACCAACCTCCCCTAAATTTTAAGCAACCCCTGTGCTAAGATAGATAACATTTAGCAATATTTTGCTTAATTAACTTAAATCGCGGGTTACTCACGTGAGTATACTGTGAAAAGCTCTACTAGTTTCGAACCACAGAGGGGTTTTTTCTCAGTATATTCACGTGAGTAACCCGCGATTTTTAGTTAATTTAGTATGTCTCACGATGCTTAATATAAAAAGATTTTGCCTTTTACGAACCTCTAAGTGACTTCTAACAGTGCAAGGGGTTAGTTTCGATGCTACGTCATGATAAGTACAACATCAAAGTCAAAATCATTTATTTCAAACTACCAGGGTAGTCTTGAAGCCAATCTCAATATCAATGCAATTTCAATCCAATAAAATCTCAATAATTACCCAATATGTCAAAACTATACTACCCGTAACGTAGCTGTCAAAGTAGCATTTAGAATAAGGACTAGGAAGCCAAATTCAATACCATTTAGTTCATTATACCACACAATACGGATGCAATGGGCGCTAGTGTTGCAACTGAAGAGTACGAAATTTCACAATACCAATGTCGATCGATCGGAATTGGATTCAAGAGTAAGCCCCCAGGAAGGCCTTTGAACGTCAACAGAAAAATTTAAGTGAAGCGTTTTGCTCATTCCAAGGTGTAGGTTCCTATGGAGAAGAACGAGCAAGAAACTCCATAGGTTACTCTTTTTCAATCAGGTTTACAATACAATTTTTAGTTACAGTTTCGTTCTGTTTATTTCGTCTTTTAGTCAAGACTAGCGACCCGCCCTTGCTTCGTACGGGTGCAATATGCGTGTATTATACATATAAATGTCGTGGTGGCCCGGAGGTTTGAGACGCCCGCTTCTCATGCATGAGGGTTCGAAACCTACCAACGGCAAGTACCAATGCGACTTTTTCCGAGTTATATGTACTTTCCAAGATTATTCAGACACCACTGACAAACGGTGAAGGAAAACATCGTGAGGACACCTGGACTTATAATTTCTAATTATAAGTTTGTAATCGCTAACCCGCATTGAGTAAGCGTGGTGATTAATGCTCAAACCTCCGTGTGAGAAGAGGCTTTGCTCAGCAGTGGGCATTTATAGGCTGTTGATTTGATACATATAAACCTTCCTTAAGAATCACTCTATCTATTTAAAAAACCGCATCAAAATCCGTTGCATAGTTTTAAAGATCTAAGCATACATAGGGACAGACAGACGGCGGATAGCAACTTTGTTTTATACTATGTAGGGATGTGATTTAGGGGATTTGAAAACGGTAATTTAAGCATTTTTAAGCATTTTTTTGGGTCAAGTGTAACTGTAAAGCATTTTGTAATAAAATTAATTTAATTTAAATATTTATGTATTGTTTTGTTATAAACAAAATTGTAGTGGTTGGTCGGGTTGATTTTTTTAATAATAAAAAGATGAGAAAGTATTTTTTTGTATTATTTTTTTACTGCCTCGTTGGCCGAGTGGTCGCAAGTGTGACTGCCGGGCAAGGGGTCTCGGGTTCGATTTCCGGATCGGGCAAGGTATTAACGAGTTTTAAAAAAAAATCTCAGTAGTAGCACAGAGTCTGGAATTGTGCCTGGTATATGGCAATAGACTCACCGTCTATTACATGAGACTCCTAACATAAACAGTGAAAAGTGGGTGTTACATTGTACAGTGGCATTAAGTGCCGTAATGTGCACCTCTGCCTACCCCTTCGGGGATAAAAGGGATGATGTTATGTTATGTTATTTTTTGATTAAATACTCTTTGGCTTACCAAAGACTTTAGAGACTTATTGTGC